TACAATTTTACAGGACATTTCCTCAATCGAATTCGGTTGAATTTCCAGACGATTGATTGATTTGCTTTTAAAGGTTTTTTGTGTTTGATAGTTCCTGTGACGATGGTCATGATTATGATTATAAAATACTACATTGTAGTATTCAACAAATATATCAATAGCATACTCCTATTACACTTTCTCCTATGTTATGTTTCACTGATAGAATAAATGATAAATGCCGAGGTTTTTGATGATTACAGGTTTGCAGGTTTTAACGTAATACATATAATAAGAAGCTGAATTGAATTCCATATTCCGTCTTTTGATTGGATAAAAAAAAAATGCATGTATATTTATAAATACAATATGATAGATTTCGATTCTAATACATATATGTTCTATTCTGTCAAATAAACTGGATTCTAATACATCAAGTGTATATGCATTAATTACAGGAAAACATTAATGTCACAGATGTTTAAAGTTTGATACGGTGCTCAACAAGAAGGAAATATGAAGACCTTAATTGCTTAGATATTATATCTGAAATATACCCTCCTGATATTTTAAATGAAAAATAGTTATCGATATATGGAGTGAAAATGGAATACAAATTAAAACTTTTTACTGCAATTAGTATTAGTTTTATTTTGATGTCATCAGCAAGCGACGTAAACATGTGTAAGGATAGGTATGTATAAACTGGTGTATTAAAATGTCACAGGTTACAACCCAGTGACATATATCAATTGTGTTCTAAAATATTTCTGTCTAGTACAGATGCACACTGTGAAAAATGTCCCATTCAACTTTTAAAATTATGAATATATATATTTGATTTTAATTCCTTCATTTAATATAGATTTTAAAAGGTATGCAATACAATCATATGTAGTGTTAAAAATTTGTTAGCTTCAAAGTAAAACCAAAGTACATGACACTAATCAATGACTCGAACTCTTTTCCTCGGATATAATTTTGAATTGATACATATAAAGACCTTATCTTTTATAATATTGCAGATACGGGCGTTTTGTATGCTGTCAAGATTATCAGAATATATCTGGGACGTGTAAAGGTATAATGAAATTTTAAAATTTTACAAACTTAATAATTGGTACAAAATAGGACTCAAAAATACCTTTATATTTTTAATCCACAGCTTGCATTGGTTCTTATGGAAAGGGTTGTTCAAATCCGTGTACATACGGGTACTACGGACATGGGTGTCGTGAACGTTGTGACTGCACCGAAAATCAGACATGTGACAAAAGAATAGGATGTGTGGAGGTTAAGAGTACACATTTCAGTAAGTATCATTGAATACATCAATGTAAATTCAGCATTTCCATTTAAGATTTCATAAAGGAATGGAAAATTATAATAAAAAAATTACATTTGTCAAGAAAAGATTTCTCACTAAAAATTATTTATATTATACGTGGAAAATAAATGTCTCGCTTCTTGTACAAAATATCGAGATTACAAACAATTTAAAAATAAAAATCGGGAACAGAGCACTTGCTTTCTTAACATCAGTAGTGAGATCAGGTGCCGTGGATGAATAACCACCCCCATGTCCACCGTTTACATTCGCAATTTTTATACTAGAACTAAAGTGTTTTTAAGAACGGATGTGTCGCCTGCATTAAATATAATTTAACGGTGTACATACATCTGAGAATTCTGTTTGTTATATCTATATGTTTCATTGGTCAGTAATTCTTTTGTAATCAGCATAAAGTGTCATGCAGTAGCCTGCAAATACAAAAAAGAGAAAAAAACAATTTTTGTATTCTTACTGCATTGAATTCCTATGATTCAGAAAGAATGAATGTTAATTTCTTATATCACTTACACATTTTTGAAAAATACAGGGCTTAATTTGAATTGAAACTGTACCTTGTTCTTACAGAAAATTGATCATAACTGAAGACAATCATAAATGTTGATTCTGATTCATTTATTTTATTTGATAGCTCCAAACGTTATGAATACAAGAAATGCATGTTATGGGATTTACTCAATTCCAGGGATCAATATCTGTTACAACAAGTAAGAAAAAATAAAATGTTTAAGGAATTCAAAAGTTGTGTTCATTAAGTATCAGAAACACTGTTATCAATAAATATTAATAATTTGAACAATACCTGAATGTGCTTAATAAATACTTATGTATTATTATTTTTATACAGAGAGAATACAGTCTATGCAACAAGCATTTTTGTCTACGAATAAAATCTTTAAGTTAATATCTATAGGTAAATATATGTCATAAAGGTGAAAATAAAAACAGTTATTCCTTATATTTACATGAATATCTTTGAACTACACAGATGCAAGTGATTTTTTTAATCGATAAACCCGTACATTGATGAAAAAAGTTCACTATTTGAAGTTTTATCTCCAAAGACTTAAAGAACAGCGATCTATCTCAAAATATCTTTGAACTACACAAATTGGTGAAGAAGTGGGATCAGATGCCTAGGAGGAGTAAGCATCCCCTGCTGATCAGTCACACCTGGTCACCAATTCCTATGGCTCAAACATCAGCCATATGAATTGATCAAGGATACATTACGCATTAAAATATTGTCTTTAAAAGGCAAAACATTTAGTATGAAATAAGTCCAAATACGAGTTAATGAAAGGATACATTTGAGAAAAAGGTAACAATCATAACTGTCGAAATTAAAGAAACTATGAAATGCACAATTGTAAAATCAGATTATCAGGGAGTAGCATGTATTGCTCTACAATCAGACTCTTGAGTAGCAAATAAGTTGGGTGATTTACACACAATAAGCAGGTGATAACAGAATATCACTTCATAACTAAGGAAAGCTTATAATTGACAAGCTAAAGTCATCTCGTTTAACATACAGTTTAGTTAACAGTTGACCTTTGTCCTCTTTATTCAGTAAAACATTCAACCATGGCTGTCTCTGTGGTGCCTATATTTCAAGTTTACTGGGATACCAATATATCCGGTCGACATATGATAATAATTTCTCATCATTATTTATTTAAATTCATAGCATAACAGAAGTTATTGAATGTTGTGAAGACTTTTTAAACTTTACAGGAATTTGTGAGCGTAAGTCTTATTTTTCTAAATAAATGGGTTTTTTTCTTCATTTTTTGACTTTAAATCCATTATTATTTTAAAAAGTATTTAAACCTTATTGAAAATAAAATTTTAAAGCTTGCATTGGGTCCTGGGGAGAAAATTGTAGAAAACATTGTACAGCTGGATTTTATGGCTTTGGATGTCGTCAACAATGTAACTGTTCTGAAGAGGAGAAATGTGATCGTCGGATTGGCTGCATGAAGGAAACTTGTATGTATCTTTTAATAAGTTGAACATTGCACATAAATTTTATATTACACATGTTACATATCTCATACGACTTAAATTTAAACTTTTTATGTTTCCTTTAGTGTTATTTTATTTATAAAATACATTGGAAAAATTAAAAAAAAACTACGGATCATTTCAATACAAAGGAGAATGAAGATGTACAAAAATGTACATATGTCTTGCATCAATTTAATTAAAACAAATGCCCTTTCAAATTGTTCTAAAAATCATAAGTTTGTTTTTTAACAACAAAAGTTTATATCAAAAATCATAAAATTTATTACAAGAATGAATAAACGTGTGAATTTAAGCATTATTCTTAATTTCACGTGTCGTTGTGTATGTTTTCTTGCGATTAGCTTTTCGAGTTCTTATTGACCATTGACACTGCAATTAGATTAAATTAAAAAATATATAAACACAAAAAGAAAACAAATAGAAAAACTTACTAACTCTCACATACAGGCTCACACACTGAAAATAAAATAAATGTAATAAACTATTAACTCAGTTTTCACCAATTCTGTTTCTTTACATTAATTCTATATAAACTTCTACAATTCTGTTTTAATATAATATAAAGTAATGTATCAAATGAAAAAAAAATCAACAAATTGATTTTTCAAATGATACCCCGAAAAAGCTAAAATAATTTTAATTAAAAATATATACTTAAAAATCGTTTTTGTAAAAAGAAATGTTACTCAAAAGTTATCACAACTGATATTAAACGCTCACCGGAAGTCATAATACACGTGCATTCACCATCATAGAAACGGCTCAGTCCTACGCTCGTCACAATGTAGTAGTCGCTTTAACCATAGCCCCGGGTCTATCGCCTCCCACTGAGGTTGTCCTACCATCACCGGTCCCTATTCAGTTCATCGACATTTGAACATAACGCTGCTGACCTCCACTGCTCGACCTCAGCGCTGGCCACTGACCTCCTATGTTTATAACAGTAGTCAACTGACCCTCAGCCCGCCTACTTTGTACATAATAGTCTCCTAGGATCTTACACACTGAATTGAATTTACTATTACAAATCCTAACCTAAATAACAAGTGAAACCCGAAAGAAGTGGGTACATCTTTAGCTTTATTGTGCCCTAGCTAAAATGTAATGTCATCAGAAAGTTTTGAAAATATTAGTTAAGTATACGACTGTGATAAATCAGGAAATAATATGGCATGAAGGATAACCATTCTCAAGTATGACGTCATCAATTTGATGCATTTCTCTATTTTAAACAGAAAAGCCTCAAAATAGCCAATTTCAAGGGAAAATTTCCTGTAGAAAATAGTGTCCACAGCTGTCGCCTACTATAATTTTTTAATATCTTAATATGCAAAAGTCAAATATAAAATCACAGATCTTAAAGTCTTTGTTAGCGATGTCTGTGAACAATATTATCAGTAAGAAAATTCCATCAAAAAGCGGTGTCTTCTGAAACTTTTTGAGAAAATATGAGAAAATATACATGTTTATGACGTCACAGTTAGCATTTAAATGCACATGGGAGAAAAATGATTTGTATGATTTTCTGCATGAAATTTCAATGATTCAGCAGGCATGAGTTTTCATCTTTAACACTAGTGTCATTTTTTTAAAGAAAATCACTGGGCAAGATTTGTTTGGAAATCATACTTTGTAAGTGATCAGAAGATCAACTATTTACATTAACATTATTCGACCACTCTTACTGGCTAGAACTCGGCACATGCTGAAATTAGCCACCAAGACACGTTATTTTGCCACCCATCTAAATTCGGTTCTATAATTCATTGAAAATATTGCAACTGTTTATTAGTAATATTAAAATAACTTTTATAAACCATACAGGGAAAAACGAAAAAAGGTGGGACATCTCCGGCTGGTCATTACCGGATACCAAACGCGATCTAACCATGCTTCAAAATGGGTCCTTTTATATATTTAACATAACAATTTTAATTGTATTGAAACCCATGAAAACCCAAATTAGACATGTTAGATAGTATACAAAAAAATCAACTTCGTCACATACGCTCCATTTACTTACAATATTTATTAATATTGTATCTCTCTATATAGAAAACAAAATTAAAGTCACTTTACAATTTCCTTGCCATATCTCACTGTACACTTACAATACCTTTCTCCTGCAAAGTTCTTTAGATTAGGGACTATTAACGTCTTTCTTACTCAGTACAAATATCCAACGTATGAAACAGATGTGTCATGAAAGAGAAAATAAAGATTAATACTTAAACAAAAATTTGAAAAAATACGTCTTGGTATCTTTTCCTCAATAAGCTCACCAAAGTGCCATATAAAGTGTCAGGGGATAATAGACTAATATATTGGTAACATGAGACGAATTTGATTGTATGCCTAAAAGAAGATGGAAATTACTATCGTTGACTTCAATTGACAATCCGTCGTCGATATATCTTAATGTCGAGTTGAACGCCACAGCAAGTGTTTTCTTCTTCTCACACATAATATTTGCGAAACATACAAGTAGTTTTGCAGACGCTGCACCGCCCATACAATAGCATAGGATTCTTTTCCACAAATACGAAATGCTGTTTCCTGGGACGTAGGTTTTTTTAGACCGTGGATCCAAAAGAGATGAGGATATATCATTGAGGTGGACCTAGTGTTATCCATCTCTAGCTTGCAATAAGACAGCCTCCACAGAGGTCCCGGGTTCGTAATATATCAACAATTCAGTGTGTCAATAATGGCCTAATAATTAGTATGAACAAGATGTGATTGTGAAACACTGATGCCCCGTATATCAACATAGCAAAGATTAAACTTTTCTTAAATGCCAATTAAGTACTAGTATATTAGTACCAAAAGTAAGGTTTTCTCACAAGAAATATATGAAAGCCCTGGTACCAACTGTTCAAAAGTCAAACTCCAGGGTCAAGGCAAAGAGTCAAAACTGTTGATTTCTTAAGAAAGATCTTGTCACAGTATTACATATGTGATGTATGAAAGTCCTAACAGTAACTGTTGAAAAGTTATGGCCAAGGTTAAACATTTTAAAAAGAAGGTCAAGTCATAGTTCTTGATATCCAAGATATCCAATGAAGGGTCTTGTCAGAAGGATTGAATATGTGAATTATATATATATATAAAGACCAGAGGCCTTCAAAAGTTCAATAGTCAATGTTTGTTAAAGTCAAACTCCAAGTATGAAAGTCCTAGCCCTCACCGTTCATGGCCAAGGTTAAAGTATTTTCATAAGTACGGAAATCTTCAAGGTCAAAAGGAAAAATTGTGGGTATCCAATAAAAGGTCTTGCCACAAAAAATATATATGTTAAATTTAAAAGTCCTAGTATCTACGTTTCAAAAGTTATGGCCAAAGTAAAAGTTTGGAATTTTTGTGGAAAAGTGGATCAAACTCCAAGGTCAAAAGGTCAAATTTGGTGGTACCCAATGAAGATCTTATCACAAGGAATACACATGTGAAATATGAATGTCATAGCTTAACTAAATCAAAAGTTATGGACAAGATTAAAGTTTTTGCGGGCAAACAGACAGACAGACAGACGGATACGACAAAAAACTGTATAACCCGAATTCTCAAATTACGGGGGCATAAAAACATAAGTCAGCATTTGATTTAATGATAAATCGTATTTCCTGACAAGGTCAATGTATCGACCCAGGAGCTTAATTACCTAACAATGACTTCAAACAAGAGTGCTGATATTCTTGTTTCATGAACTTGTTTGTCAATAAATTACCTCGTATATCATCCTATTGAGTATCGAATCAGCTAAGAGATATTAACCTCGTATGCAGGTGATGAAGGAATATTGCTGCATAAGAAAGGGAAGTTGACAATTAAAAATTTTATGATGTTTTTATCATTTAAAAAAGTTATGATTTTGCAATTCTCTTTTGAATTTAATTATCGTGACAACAAAAACAATCTATCAATAAATCATTATACAATCATGCAAGAATCATGCATTATGTGTATTTTCAAAGTGTAAAGTTCAATATAATCGTCTGTCCATGAGGAAATGTTTCAATTATATTTTTTTAGTTGTTGAATTTAGTTATGCATTTATATGCCTTACAATTATTAAAACCAAATGGAATACCAGTTCTTTTTCTTGCGGGTTGTGATGTTTTGTACCACTAATAATTTACATGTTTTTTTTCTGAAGACTCTGCAATTTGTGATAATTTGTGAGTATTTATTTTTCTGTATTTATCAAACAAAATCAGATATTGAACTAAATATTTAATTCAGACAATTAGTAATTAATTGAAAATAAACTTATTTAATTTATGATGTATTTGAAGGAAATAATGATACATTTTACGTGATTAAGAAAAAAAATATATCTTTCTTTAATTCCCTCTCAAAAAAGCAAAATTCTTAACATAAGAGAAGATATGATAGAAATAAAAGATTAATCAACATACTATTTAAAAGATATATACTTGTTTATTTAACAACTTTACAAAATAATAACAAACGTTCTTGAATTTTACAGAAAAGGAAGCAATCCTACCTGTTGTCAAGATTATAAGAATATTTCAGGAGAATGTATAGGTATAATGTTTCCCTTTACATTTCTCTAAGCGCGCAGTTCATATCTAAAGCCTTTATAAAATATATTTTTAATAATAATAATTACGTCACAGCTTGTATTGGTTCCTTTGGAAAGAATTGTTCAAATCCATGTAGTTATGGGTTCTATGGACATGGTTGTCGTGAGCGTTGTGATTGTAGCCAAAATCAGAGATGTGACAGAGAAAGAGGGTGTATTGTTCCTAATACTTCTTATTCTAGTAAGTGTCTTGCATATTTTTGCCTTCCATTCATCCAGTTTAACATGGAGTACTAATGCTGGTTGTTTATGCATCATTGTAGTTTAAAATTAGGACTTCAATGAAAATAGATTAACATTATACAGGTATCCCGAATGTCAATTCGAGGCTTTTATAATACAAGAAATAACGTTATTGCCATTCTTACGATACGCCTAAATTTTTTACAACGTTTTACATATCGTCTAATGATCTTTACAACGATTTTATCAACCATTAAGGCAAAATGGAGTTTTAAAAAATCCAGTTTTTATATTCATTTAAAATTATATGGGTTTAAATAGTACTGTATGGAAATTGACTTAAAGCAATCTAAATCAAGATTCTATTTTTCAACATGTTTATATTTATTCAGGTACAGCTCAGGACAATAGTACGAAACCTTTTACAAGCAATAGTTTACAAACAATAATACTTATTCCATGCGGTGTTCTTATCTTTGTCTTTTTGGGGACAGTCTACAACCTCCGTAGAAAACTGTAAGTCGTTAAAAGTTATAATCATTTGAAAAGCTAGCTTTGTCTTTTTGATTAACTTAAAAATTCTTCTTATTTTCTTATAACTGTTTTTACCTTTTCACTAACAGAAAAAAAGAACGTGAATCAAATGCAAAACTGGGTGATACAGGTATGGGGTCTTCACTTTTAGGAATCGTTTAATATTTCTATTAACAAAAGAATTATTCTAATCTTCAAAATTTAATTTCAATTTTTACTGGTTTCTTACTCTTTGGTTTTTCAGCAAATACCTGTTTGGAAGAAGAGGGTGGAGGGGATATCTATAGCTATGTAAGAGAATCAAAAATGATTGAAAATAGAGATGTCTCTCAATCTGAAAAATATAGAAAGCTTGAAGGGAACAGGTCTCTGATGACTCAAATGTGCAAGAGCTCCGCTTGGCAATATGGAGAAGAATGGCAAGAATCGGCTAGTTGCTCTAGTCCTCTGGATGATGTATATAATGGAGAACATGGTAGTGGCCGTGATCAGACTTATTATAAGGGACATTGTAGCGAAAGTGATACCTACAACCATTTGCAACTGAAAATTATGTCTAGGGCTTGTATGAATATGAATTATTACGCTTTAATGAGTTCAAATAATTCAATGTCAATGAAAAACATGAATTATGAGAAGGAAAGTTATCGTAAAGAGGGTGAATATATTGACCAAACATATAAAGAGAATGGTCCAATGACTAGATCTGGAGTGAACCGACCAAGGCATTTCCGGCCTTATAGCTCTGTTAAGTACAACCGTCAAGTAGAGCGAGAAGATAGTGTATTGAATTAAGGACGAAAAATTTGAAATATCGAAGAGGACAAAGTCCTGCAAACATTTAAAAAAGCCACTCAATGGCAAAAATGTTTAAACGTTTGATAATTTGAATTAAAAATTTTTTTAGTCGTATGTCTGTGATTCATATTTTAACATGTGTCATCTAATGATTCAATATTTATGATTTTATTTTTTAAAAATCCATACATTTTCTTATTTTTTTAATATTCTTTAACTTATTTCTGTTTTTTTTTTTAAACAGTTTATAATGTTCTCTTCACGTTGCACAGCCACACCTAAACTATTCCCTTTCTTGTTAAATGTAATATTAAGACATATTTTAGGAGAGTCATAGTTAACCTTTAAATGTTGGATAAGTATCGGCCAAACATTGGAAAGCAAGCTCGGCTTCCTTTATATTGATTGTATCTTGCTTTTTGTCAGAAATTAAATTGTCACTCAAATAGAGACGTCACAATATACCGGTGGATGGCTACAAATGTAGACCTTTAGTTACGGCACTCAGGGTCATTAAGCAGTGAGGGATCGTCATCATGCCAACGCCTGCCGAGGATTCGGTCTTTAAGGTCTGATCCAAAGGACCCGCAACTTTCACTTCAAAGTGCCGAGTGCATGGCAAAGGAACATTTCCTACTCATTTTTCTCTTATCGACTTGGGTCAGTTGCGGCCGAGATTCAAACTCAGTACCTTTCGATCATGGAAGTAGTGCTCTACAAATTGAGCTACCGTGACGGTACAACCTTTTAAAGTACGATCGGGCATTCCCTGATGGGAATTTGTTTAAAATACCCTTAACATTAGACAAGCAATAAATATCGTTTTTGCAAATAAGGCAAAATTATCAACTCAGAGAATTTGCTAAATTATTTGCAGATCTATTTTTGTAATCATATGAAGCAGAATTCATCCAAAATCTTAAATGTGAAAAGAAGATGACACTTTTCTTCAACTCGACATTAAGATATATCGACGACGTATTGTCAATTAACAATGGTTATTTCCTTTCTCATGTCGATACGATATATCCCAATGAGCTTGAAACCACAGAGTCTGACACATCTGTTTCATATTAAAATATTTTCTTTGAAAAAATAGCAATGGAAATCTAACAACCACGGCATTATGACAAACAAGACGACTTTAACTTTTCAATCGTCAACTTGCTTTTCTTACGCAGTAATATATCTTCATCATCTGAAAACGGAGTTTGAATCGTTCAGTTGCGTGATTCGATACGCAAAAGTATGCCCTACGTATGAACAATTTTTTCAACTAGGTAAGTTATTAATAAAATAATTGATGAAACAAAAATATCGGCAGTCTCGTTCGAATTCATTGTTTCGTAAGATCTATGGTCAAACAATGACCTTCAGGCATGTTCATGAATACAGTGTGTCCTAAGAACGTAGGAAATGCTAACTTAAGTCAGTTTATCAGCTTTTAAATTTAAGAACTTTTCTAAGTTTTTTAACTTTAGGACAGCATAATACCTGTCCTAAGATCATCCTAACTTAAAGTTTGTTTTGATGCTTTTGATTTTGGACATTGCAAGTATTAGCGGTAATTTCTTGTTTCTCAGCAGTCCGTGTATGAGCTGATGATTTACACAAATAATTAAACAAGAAGTGTTACCCATAGGCCTCTTTTCATATATGCTATAAATTTCGCATGTGCTGTTTCGGATATTACCTAATACAAATTTTGGATATTATTATAATGAATATTTTCGGTATTGGTTGGAGAAATATGATACAAAATCCTCCATATATTTCATTTTAATGAAATCTTCATTGCATATCAAATACAAAGTAATTGAAGACAAAAAGGTTATTTAAATGAAACAATGTTAAAACAAAAGGCTATGAAAGAAGTTGAAACCTAGACCCCAACACTCTCTCTCTCTCTCTCTCTCTCTCTCTCTCTCTCTCTCTCTCTCTCTCTCTCTATAGGATTTTCGAGTTTGGACAACATTCAAGACAACTTTTTTGATTGTAATAGTTTTCTCGTAAGTTTAATTTTTTCTTTCATGACCGTTGTTATGTGACTGTCAAAGACATTCATCACAAACGTTGTATTATGACCGCCACCCCACCCCTTCTTTGTTTAAAATGTCATAATACGTTGTGAGAATATAGAAACAAATACCCCCTCTTTCATATGCTAATGATTTTTATACAGATTACAATTGATCATTCTAACATGACTTTTTTGCGATATACAATATCTTTCATTTATTAAAACCTCACATGAAGATTAATACCAATAAACTTGTCTTGGAAAATAAGGAGGGGAGAAAATTGTGAGACAAAAGCTATCGACATGTTCTAATTTTTTAATTAACCGGTTGGTCAGAAATGCAAAATTTAAAAAAAAGTTGTCATTCAAATATTTAAACTGTTGAGAGTTTTATTATTCAAGAATAAAATGTTGGCTTTTTTGGTTTTACATTGAATACTTTTTATGTCCTACAAAATAAATTTTGCTTTCAATCAGCTTATTCATCAAAAAAATTAAGTAAACTTTTATAAAACTTCATAACATAATCATCATAAAGGTAGATCCTCAGAGGTTATGATTTTTTAAACTGTAAATCTGAATTACAATTTGTTTGTTACAATACGATTTACAAGCGGTATTAAATATTTTATAAAATACCCCAAAAAAATGCAAACATTAAAATATACTGATGTCACATGGAAATATAAATGGATTTCCTTTTTCTAATGTTACATGTATTAAACACGTAAAATGTCTCCAAAATTATACATTTAATGCAAAAAAAAAAATTGTATGTGTAAGTTAGGATCACTTTAGTTAAAACAAATACATCTTATGATATTTCAAAGTTGATCTTATACAAATAAGTCATATCTTATGGAATAGTTTTAGGACAAATCTTAGGAAAGTTTCATGAACATGCCTGCTTGTCCACAAATACAGTTTATCATTATCAAATATAGATGTTTATCATTCTAATTCCTAGGCCATTATAAACGTTGCATTGGATGAAAATATCCGTTTTTTCCTGATCATGAATGGCGTACACAGCGGATGTGATAGAAGTCTTTAGTCCTTCACGGCATCTGACACCACCTCTAACATTTTCCGTGTTTGCTCTGCTCCTATTTTGTAATATGGGACTTTTGCTGAAATCTATCCAAAATCTCCATATATTTCAATTTGAAATTAGGAAATAGCATCCAGTATTCAAGCTCAAAAGTACATGAAACAACATAAAGTGTGAGCAACTGCTCTATCGCCTAGCGTTCGACATTTTGACTAAAATAATGTTAACTGGAATACTTCAAGAAATATGTAAATTTCTCATTATTTCTTTGTTTACGTTCATAGTAAAACAGAAGTTACTGAATGCTGTGAGCTCTTTTTAAACTTAAGAGAATTTTCTGAGCTATAAAATGTATATATTGTTCTAAATAAATTTTTTTTCCAGTTTCGACTTTAAAATACAATTTCTTTTAAAAAATCAAAACCTCACTGAAAATGAAATTTAAAGCTGGGGAAACGTTAGAAAACATTGTAAGGATTTTATTTTTTCACAAATGCAACTGTTCAAAAAAATGATTCGGATTGGCTTACTGTAAATCACTTTTTATTCGCGAGATCTTTATTTTTGCGTAATTACGCGAGACAGTGTTCTTGGCAAAAAAATTCTTGGATAACTAAGATTATATGAGCAATCACAATTTTCAAATGTTCAAATGCAAGAATGACCGAAATAAGGTCGAAAATTCATTTTAAAGTTTTCACTTACATAAATGAAACTTGTACATATTAATGAAAATAATTTGAAAAATTTAATCATCACATAAAACAGATGCAGATGACATAACCTTGTAGAGTGTGACCCTAAAAGGTCTCCAAATGTATTTTTAAATATTTTAAGCCTATTTATTACTCATGTAAAAATCTGTTTTAATTTTAGTGCTGAAAAATCAAATGTTGTGGCAATATTTAGAGACAATAATAAAAAAGTATTTAGCAACTACCCGCATGCCATCTTCCCTTATTTTTTGTTTGGCTTTAATTTTGACAAATTACATCCATTATGTTTAAATAAATCAGACATCAAACCTTCGACAAGCGGTTTACCGAAAAACACTATCCGCACTTGTGGAATGGTTGTGTTTGAAATCCTACTTTGAATAAAGGCTTTTAAAAAATGATGTCCATTGTTGCATCAAACTACAAAATACCGTCCCCTAATACTATATAAATTAGTATTTATAGGAAATCGTATTCACCTTCAGATCAATTATTGGCTGTGAGTTATGACAACTGATAAAAACAAAAGAGTTACAACAATTACGGAGCAGAATATTTTTTTTAAACAAAACATTGTGAACAACTTATGAATTTCCACAAATGATAAATAAATTGAATTTAAAAATTGTTATATTACAACCAAATCAAGCTGAAAGTGATAAAAGAAAATATATTTCGGAAAGCTTTGCAGTGCATGGACAAGAGTTTACAATCTCCTTCAATTTACAAGTCTTTACTTTATGAATGTTCGGGTATCTTCGGAAAAACCAGTAGCCAGACATCAAAATTCGGTTGACATTGTACATAAAACGATTTAAATATGAATTTCCTAAAATTAAAACCTCACATGTATGAAAGTTTAAAGCTTTTAATACTTTCCTTCATATGTTATTATCCTTATGAAATACATTGCAAGTCCAAAATTATTATAACACGGAAGAAACCTTGTCACGGAAACGTAAAACAGATAATAAGAACTATAAACAATTTCAAATACAGATGTGTTTGGAAAAATGCCCCCGTATGGCAACATAGCAGAGATTAACATTTTCTTAAATGCAATTTTTTCATACATCTGTGTATATTGGCTTATTAAAAGTGGACATATCCACTTGAAAATACAATTGTGAAATAGAAGTATGCAAGGTTAAAGTTTTTGCAAATCTATTGAAATTTTCAAGGTCTTGCCACAAAAATACATATATAAAGTATGGAACCTAGTGCCTAATCTGTTCAGAAGGTATGGCAAAGGTTAAAAATTTCAAAAAGTTTCCAACATGCCACAGCGTCGTGTTCCATAACATCTAATGAAGTGTCTACTCACAAGGATTTAAGTGAATTATCACTACGCTAATACAGCAATGTTTAACAAAGTTTTTTGTACAAAAATTAGTTTAATTCAAAAGGTCAAGGCAA